GCGTCTGCAGTCAGATTGATGGCAGTGATACTCAGGGCAAAACTGTGTCGTCCAGATCTCACGTGTCAGTGCAGGTGGTGGTGATATGTCATAGTTGTTACTTCTTTTTTATTGCTTACACCATGATCAGCAAGTTGCTGTTTATTTTTCCATCTTCCACAGAAAATTTATGTGAAACATCTTCATGTTTGACTCAAAATATGATACATGTTTTCCGTAAGTGTTGCATTCTGCACCTCCCCTCCCACTCCATTCCACAGCAAGGCACAGCTCAGGAAGGTGTGGTGATATTTCATTGTGCTCTGTTTACTTTCCCACATTACAAGGATATGAACTGGCCCTAGTACATGATATTAACATTGCTGCTGAAAGGTTCCTCTGTGGAACGCAGGTGTTAATGACTTGTTGCAAGAATACAGCATAACAGTCAGTTCATATGTAACAGACTCCTTCCACACAGGTCTCATGAGATTTTCCCAACAAAAATTGGTTTGCATCTCTTTCCCCCACATGTTACATGTGAATTCTCATCCTGTCCTTATGATACTAAGCAAAGAGTGTGAGTTGTGTAATTTCACTATTCTCTGTTGGGTCCAGTTATCCACCTCAGCACTTTGTTTTCAAACTCTCTTCTCGCATCAGAGAGAGAGAAAGAGAGATCATATTTACACCCACTGAGTGATAATTCTTTAGCTTGTGGAAGGTGAATAACAGTTCTGGACAGTTGTCCTCCAGGGTATGCTTCTTGGAGATCATTCAGCATGCGCACTGCATTTGAGTGTTAGCAAACCATTCTACAAGCACTGTCACAAGCAAGAAGCTAATTAAACTTTATAAAGAAATGTTTTAAACATGCAGGCTATTGGCGAGAAATAAAGTAGCAGTGATAGAAAAATAAAGATCCTCAAATTGCCTCACATTTATCCTAGTGTTTCCTAGCAGATGAACTGCACTGGAAGCTTCACCAAGTTATCACAGGCAGTCTGTGAAAGGGTTGAGTGTATTTTAATGATTCACAATAACTGTGTGGGTATATGGTGTGTGTGTGTCAGCATGACTGTTGCAGAAGAAAAACGACCCTGCATGTTTTGACTGTGGTAAATTATGTACTACTGCATAGCTATAATTTTCTTATAAAATGATACAATCAGCAACTAGATTCTATATTTATGTGATTGTATTGCAGTAAATGGTAAAGGCCTTCAACCATGACAAAAATACAGTTGGTGTAAACCCCCCGCAATTATAGTTAAAGGAAGTTTACCATTTCTGGTGATACCTTTTGTAAGCTGGTATATCTTGTGTTGTGAAGAAAATTATCTTATTTATCGCAACAGCCTTGTTCCCACAATTGATGGATAACATCAATACATTACTTTCATTTGGTTTCAAAGGAAAAAAACCCAGATAGGCCGTGGTAAAAATTGATAATTTTTTGCAGCGTGACATAACCTAACTTTATGCATCACTTCTTTTTTGTAGTCAACATTCCTTGCAATTACCTTTTTAGTTATGTCATCTGCGACTAATAACAAACGTCGAGGTCTAATGGACAGTACTGTTTCGTTATTTGGAATCCCCGGGTTCAAATCTCGGACCAAAGGTTTGCTATCCTAAGGGTTTTGTTACTTTTGTGCTTACAAGCACATGCCTGAGTACCCCCAGAACCGAATCTGTCCACGTTATTCGCTATTATATTTCTAGCTACTGACAGCATCGTAAAATACACCATAAAGAACGGACTACGTTGCTACTGTATACAACAGCGGATGGCAATTACAGAATATATGCAGGGGTGGAGTAGTCACGTAATGACTTCGTCAGGGAAGTTTCTTTATGTTTTGTGCACTTTGTTACTAAAGACTTAAACGGTGCTATTATTCTTTCGTGTAAAAGTCCGCGTTCCAGGAATAATTGTTTGCTAAATACAGACAGGTAAATTCTCCTCTGCGTCTGGGATATTAATTCCTAGTGTAATCTTTGCCATGAGACATCATAATGCCTGAGTGTAAGTTGGTATAATGTGTGGTAGTTTATCAAAGAGTGTGTGTAGTTTTGGAATGGTGGTGTTATATTTCGTGGTTTTTGCTAATGAAACTTTTTAGTAGCTTATGGTTTCAGAATATCGAATGATCGTTCTCAGAAAAGTATACAGTGTTATTACACGACTGTAAGAGATACAACTTTTGTGTTTGTTATGTATGTAGAAACGAGGCATCAATACAAACTCAAACGTTGTAATACGTGGTGCATGGATACGAGTCTTACAAAATATATTTGTTCGTTAACTTTGTTAACCTGTAATTTCATGACTGATCTACATGTTAGTATAACTCAAATCAGCGTATAGAACTTAAGGCTTAGTCCTGAAAATGGCATCCAGCAATGGACTGGCATCCGTAGTGAATAAAACACTAATCAAAGATGAAAAACTTTCTGTTGCACAAGAAATATTTGATTTGAAAGCTATCTTGAACAAGGTCGAAACTGCAAATGTGAGCGAACCAGATATTCCTACCAAATCGTCGACTGAAATACTGTCGGAGTTGTTCGGGACTTTCAATGCTGAGCCACCAAAAATCCTACGTTGTGTTGAAGAAATCATTGTCAGTAGACATGAAGTTTCAGAGCAAAATGTTGCTGAGCAAGAAACATCGATTCGAAATAAAAAGAACAAAAAGAGCAAAAAGAAACACAAGCACAAAGAGAAGAAGCACAAGAAGAAGACAAAATCAAGTAAGAGGCAGGGAGGTAGTGAAGACAGTGATGACTCTAGCAGTGGTGGGCAGAAGCACAAGAATGCAACTGAATGCAAGAAAAAGAAGAAGACAAGGAGCGTTAGTGTGAGTGAGCCAAAATTAGCGCCAACAATGGAGCCAGTGTCCATTAAGATAACCACTGATGGAAACCAGAATGTGAAGCGAACAGTGGAATGCTTGTCTACAGAGCCTGGCAGCAGCCCAGCCAGAGATTCTAACGTGTCCGTAAAGTCTGAAGAGCCCCCAGACCAGGCTGCCAGTTCACAAGTAGAAAACAAATCCATGGATGGGATGCCTCCTGCTGGTACACATCCAAAACAGGTGTCAGCAGGTGAGAGCCTGATGGCATATTGCATCCAGAGATATGCACATTTAAACTCAGTTTCATAAATTTTTAAAATCACTGATTAGGGTACATGCCATTGATATTGTTAGGTTAGGTAGGTAAGTATATTTCACAATGGCCCCATTGCTGCTTGGACTTAAGTTGGTAGGTTGGGTTAGGTTATTTTACTAAGGGGAAGCCAAACTATAGTTTCTTTTCATCATCATCATCATGATAAGTAGTTCACAGATAATAATATTAATTTTGTCAGAAGTCTGGGAGGATAATGATGACAACACTAGGATTTGTAGGACCCTGACCATTGACATCTAAGATAATTTATTATACAAAGTTACTGACACCACAGAGCATAGTCCTTGAGAAGCTAGCAGTTGCTAAGCTAGTCAAGAATTTCCTGCCTTTTATGGAAAGCAAATGTTTTGTTCACTCCCTGTTTCAGTTTTAACATGACAAACTACGGATTCTTGGCTGTAGGCCTGAGTTTTCTCTCTTGTTCCAGACAGGAGTGTCAGGCCTGGGCCAGGCAGGATTGTAATAAAGAACCTGAAGTTTAGCTCCGTGTATGAGGAGACGGTACGGCAAGTGGAGGAACAGGCCAAGCTGAAGGCAGACAAGTACGAGGAGGGGGAGCTCTCCGAGGACAGCAGTGGCAACAAGGAAATATGTCCCAGCGATGATGATCCACTGCTGTTGGTTTCAGGTAACTGTTGCAGTTGCACAAAATGTTATGATTTATCTTAGTTTTATGCTTCTATCTATGCCTGCATCTCCAAAGTGTTCTCTTCCCTTCAGTATTTTCACCTGAAGTTTTGTTAGCACCTTTTCCCTCTCATACTACATATAGTGCCCATCTTTCCTTTGATTATATCAGCTTGGTTACTACAGAAGATGAGTAAAAACTATGAAGCTCTCATTGTGCAATTTTCTCCATCCCTCTTAGCCATTCTGTTATGTGCCAGTGTTGGCACTTAGGGGAGAGGAGGTATAGCTCCTACTCATTCTCATCCTTGGGGGTGAGTGGTCAGCAGCATGCCCTGACCGTTCTTTGCCCCTAGGAAAGGACCTTGGTATGCATTGGACAGGGCTGGATGGGCCCCAGAGGCTAGAAGACGATCCTCTGCCTCTTTCAGGGATTGAACCCCAATTGCCCAGCCCATAGAAAGTCACTCTACTGACTCAGCTACCTGACTTACCCCCATTCCTCCTGGGTGCACACATTCTCCTCAGCACCCTGTTCTCATCTACAGTGTTTATGGCTCTGTGAACCCTCATTTATAGGGTACCTACAGGTGTTCTGAAATTGGTGCATGTGTTTGTCAGGTGATTTTTAGAAAAGGTAGTCCTGTTAACTTGGGTCCAATTGGGAGAGGTTGCGATAGTTTGAAAGTAAAATTTTGGTGTACCAGAAGTAAGGGGTTTTGATTCAAAAGCTTACAGTAATGTCAGTGTGAAACTAAAGTCATAGTTATCTGATAAAACATGTTAGAAAACTGAAAACTGCCCAAGGTGCCTTGCTACAACTTGAATGCCAGTTTAAGCATAATACATTCCCAAGAAATAGGATGTTGTTCTTTGTCATGTGCGATGTCCAGAATTATTTGAAGACATTCTCTTCTGTTCTTGGTTCTTTGTCAGCAGCCCAGCTTATACATTTTCCGCAGAAGATGGTGATGTAATTGTTAAAATCAGGGAATTTTTCTGGCCAGGCTTATGATCCTCCTTGGCTGTTCTGATGTTTTGGATAATTGCAAACTGCAAGGTAGATCCCCATGTAAGAAATAAAGGCTATCCATTAAACCTATTTTCATTTATCAAGGAAGTTGCTCTCATGTTTCATTATTAAATAACACAAGGAAGAATTATTTCTGACTGATTATTTGGTATCTGGTCAATGTGGTATGTGATGTCACAAATAACCCTTTTGGACAGTGTATGTACTTAGGATTGGAGCTGGTGGAAGAGAAACTTCACTTTTCTTGCTCTGAATGTATTATCCTCTCATGTTTGCAAACAAAATTTAATAAGAATGTATTTTTTGTGCTACATGTCTCGCGTGTACAGAGCACAGCAGTAATGCAGACAAGAAGGACCGGCAGAGACATCATCGGAAACGTGACCTTGCAGATGACGAGCACTACCGTCACCACCATGACCATGACAGGTATTGCACTGGTCTTTTATGTTTTGTTTCTGTAAGAGTGAGTTGTAACATTTGAATAGACTGCAAGCAAGACTGTGACTTTGCAGGAGTGTCAGTCAGTCCCACAAGAAGCACAAGAGAAGCCACAGTAACAGTAGCCATGACAGGCGCCGCAGTCACCGCGGCGGAAAAGGAAGTCACAGCCCAGAGAGCAGCAGCAGTCATGAGCAGCATAGCAGGAGGAGGAATCAGAGTGGTGGCCGTTGCGAGTGCCATAGTAGGAAGAGGAGTTGGAGCAACAGTCGTGAACGCCACAGTAAGAAGAGTCAGAGTACCACCAGGAAGCGAGCGCGACACTCACGTTCTCCCTCCAGGCACAGGTAATGATACTCTGTTGAGTTTCTGATACCTTTCAGAAATTGTGATGATTAGTCATTTTGTCATCCTCCACCTCGTTACAGGCTTTGTGTGGCCAGATCTTTTCACTTTACTTCTGGTACATATTACACCTTTCCAGTCTTGTTTAAATAGGGCAGGCTTATCAAACGCTGTGGCCTGTGGCCATTCTCATAATTCAAATGCAAAGGTAAAAATATCATTTGTAATTCTTGGAGTTCCTTTCTCTCATTTTTTTTAAAAATGAAGTGTTTGAAAGTACATTAGTTAGCTGTAATACGAAGTATAATTAGATGTTTAGTATCATACTCTGTTTCTCTGAAGCTGCGGGATCATGTAGAGCACTGCTGTTGCTTTGCTTGCAGGTCACGTTCACTGTTAGCGGGCCACATAGATAAGCAAAAGTTACTTGAGATTGCAAGGAAGAATGCCATGAACCTGCTGAAGCAAGGCGTTCTGCCCAGTTCTGTGGTCACACAGGATAAGATGGTCGCCATCAAGGCTGGGGGCAAGAGCGTGGCTGAGCTCACAGGTAACAAACAACATGATCCTGAGGAAGATCTATCTTAATATTGTCCAACAGGAGAGAGGCTGAACAGAAGGATGGGGAAAATCACATAATGAAGTTTATAATTTGAATCATTAGTGTCCAAATCAAGAAGGGTGGGACAGGTGAGGCTTGTAGCACAGGTGGGGAGGTAGCAAATCCATATAAAGTGGGGGTTAATGTTAAAAAGACTGGAATTAACTGCATACTTGAGGAACATGGATCTGGAATTTCATATCAGTTGCTATCCCTAATATTTATAATATTTTATGTGGTCCCTGTGTACTTGTACATTGCGTTCAGGAATTTCAAAACCCACTTGTTGTTTCCACCTGACTGCCACAGGGAGATCTCCAGTGGCAAGCTGCTTATATTGACTTCAGAAATTAATTTCTTTTTGTTTATTCAGATTTTTGTAAGCAGCTGTCCAAGAAGGAGGCTCTTGGTCAAATGTCTAGTGAGTCAGAATTGGAGGAGCACCGTAGTAGTGGGAGCGATGCTGAGCGACCATTCCACCACCCTTTTCAGATCAAGGAACGGTCAGCCTCTATTGTGATGAACATTAGGGTGAGTGCTTAGGATGACGCACCAGCTCCAGTAACGAGTTTTCTCCGGTGGCTCTGCTCCCGTCTCCAGGCGGCCGACACATTTGTTATTACGGCTCTTACTTATGATGTAACCAGTGATTGTTGTGATCAAACCCACTGCCTTTTGGATACTAGGCTAGTACACTAAAAACTGGACCACTGTCACTAACAAATATCGGTATAATAAGAAGTAGTCACCTGAAGCCAGGAGCAGAGGAAACTCTTTAAAAATGTTTTGCATAATGGATGAATCTTTAGAAAATCACTCTGAACTGGATTGTGTTGGCAGATTTGCATGACCATGTGTCTTGTTTGGATACAGGTGCACCAATTCCTGTTTTGTTTTTAACAAGTACGCGTCTTTTTGAAAGTGAGTCGGTTTCTTTTGTAATCACAGAGTTGTCAGAAGGGCACATGCATGCTGTGCTCTGTGTATATGAGCCATGGCAAGGGCATAAATTGCTAATATTTGGATGCTACATAGTTCTGAGAAATATGAACTAGTCGGAATCCAAGCAGCAGAGTCTTTGAGCAGTTGATCGTCAGTCAACTAGTCAAGAATTGTTACAATGTTTACAAGAGCCTGCCACTGAGACCCTGTGCTGAGCCAGATTAATCCAGCGCACAGCTTATCATTTTGTTTCTTGAAGATTCATTTTAATATTATTCTACCATCTATGCCTTGGTCTTTACAAGTGATCTGCTCTCTCTCTTCATGAATTAATTGGCTTGTGGCAAAATTTACACAGGAACTTATGCTGTTAGGTTAGGTTAGCTGTAGGTGCATAACTTGGATACAGAAACATAAATCGATTACAGAATTTTAAGGTGATAATATTAAAATGATTGTTTCAGAATTCAGTACAGCTGCCTGTGAAGACATTGCAGGAGAAGACTGCCGAACAGTCTAAGCAGTTACGTATCCAGTTTCCTGTGTCCAGTGGGCAGCAGCACAGGAAGTCAGGTTTGTGTGCGTTCTGGGTTCATCCAGACTGAGTTTCGTTTGAACAATAGCGGCCGGGTAGCAAGAGTGGCCAGGGCGGAAGACAAGTGACCTAGTGCGATGTATAATGTGGAATGAAATGTGTGGAGACAACTGCGGGAAATGTAAATGACGGGAACTGCAACTTTTTATTCAGTTCATTCAGTTAATTTTTGTTATTGGATGATGTCAGTGGAAAGTTTCTTATACATCAGGATGTTTGGCAGTTTTTCTGCTGTTGTGAACACTGTGTTGCTGCGTCTGCAAGTTGCAGAGGCAGAGCTGCCAAATATTCTCACTGTGGTGCATACTCAGGAATATGTTGAGTGTTGTAATGCCTTTAGAATTGTCATAAAATTTGAAGTTTGAATGGAGAGAGACGTGTGATTTTTATATGTTATAACATCAGAATTCATGCTTCAGTGCCAAAACCTGTTCCCTATAACAGCAAATAAAAGATAAGAATTATCATAATTTCAAGTTTGACCAGTCCACATTTGTAGTTGAAGATTAATGCAAGTCTGTGATAGATATTTTCAAAAAGCTCTTGCAAGTTGGAGCAGTAGTACTTGTTGCTGTTACAGAAAATGTGTGGGTCCCAGTGTCGCCAAAGAAAGAGGAGCCGGCAGCCACTGTGATTGCAGAGACAGTGGCGGAACCCGGGCCAGTGATGGAGATGTTGAACCAGGTGTTCCCCAGTGCCACGGTGACTGAGGTGGGTGGTACGTAGCACGGTTCACCATCAGGTCACATATACTGAATGGTTTGCTGAATGAAATCAGTTGCATTGCATTGCAGGGACTGGATATCGGCTCCATCGTGTCTCAGAGACTCACAGCCATGCGAAAGTTGCAGGAAAACCCGAACGACATGCAGGCGCTGTCTGAGATGTACCGTGCTCAGAAGGATGTAAGTACATTGCAGTGAGTGCAACGACAATGGAGGGATTAAACAGAAGATTAGTGCAGTTGTCTGTTGTTTTATTGCCTCCAGATGCAGATGTGGGCCGAATCAAAGCAGCAGCCCGGTCACTTCACAGGCAGCACGGGCGCTCGAGTGCTCTCAGCCGCGGAACTTGCTTCTGGCTTCCAAGCGTGGGCCAAGAAGGTACAGGAGGCCCTCAGGCCCCTTACTGTTTGTGTGTTCTGGCATTTCTGCCATTTGCAGTTTCTAACTCCTTGTCTTATCTGAACTGAGGCATTTGTGTCTATTGCTTTGGCCACTGTGTGCCTCGGCAGCAGTTAAGGAGCCCAGTAATGACCTACAGAGCTGCTGTCTGTTTTGCCTTTGTTATGCCTTAGAGAAGTTATAGGTTGCTGATCTTGAACCTAAGGTCTTTGTTACACAAGTGCAGGACATAGCAGTTTGTGTGAATTGTTGCATAGGTCAGCTTCGCTTCTGCTATTTCACCCAGACAGTGGAAGACCTGTGTACTGTCCCCAGCAGATCATTCTAGCTCTCAGTTACTTCACTGCACCATATTGTACAGTGTTTGTAGGCATTTTATAGAAACATGTAAAAATATTTTCTTCTGTCCAGGAAGTGAACTATAGGGGATCACAGGCTTTGAAATTCAGTGTCCTGTTGGGTCTGTACACACATATAAGCTTGGGTTTTGTGTGCCACTCCTTAATGTGACGTAGAAGAAGACAGTTTGCAGTGCTGGGTAGAAATGCCAGGATGTTGGGACGTTCTCCGTGTATATAACACTCACACTGAACCAGGCAGTTTGTGCGCCCCAGTTTGGGAAAGCAGGTTAAAATGCTGCAATGTTTTGTTGATGCGTGACTGTTCATACAGTTTTCTGTTTCCAGAGCTGACAACTGGATTTTAATAAAATTTGGTGTTTGAGGGGAGGTGTCTGGACTTTACTGGGTAAATCAAATTTGGTTCATGAAAATAAAATTAAACATAATCATAAATGTGCGGCTGATTGTACATGTGTCACTGAGCTGCACTAGTTTTTTCTTTTTTTAAATTTTAGTTTACAATGAAACTACTTTGCAGTGTCAGTCACCTCTGAATCATAAAGTGCATGCGAATTGTCCAAACTGGTTCATGGGCTCGCTGATGGCTTCGTGTGAGTGCTTGTGTTTCTTACCGCATTGGCCTGTAACAAATTTTCAGGTGCAAACTAAGTGAGGTTTGTGAAGCAGGCTCAGACCATCCCCTGTCTTGGGGGTGGACTCTGTGCCTGTAGGGGGAGCAGTTGGCAACACCTGCAGGCAGAAGTGTTGCCAGCTGCAAAACACCTGAAGATTTGTTACAGGTTTGTAGCAACATGACATCATCATAGGAAGAATGTGCCACAGCCTGCGAGCTTCAGTGAAACAAGAGGGCCATGCAATGGTGAGTAGAAAGAAGTACATAAGCAGTTGCTCTCACAGGGCTGTAGTGTTCTGAAAATATTATCTCCATGATCTGATGCTTATGCTCTTCGCTGATTGATACCTGTAGTCCATTAAATGCATAACTGTATTGGATTGATGCCTGTGTTCCCTGTTGTGCTTGATGGCACCTTGATTAATATTGAAGGGCAGTGTCTGCTGTATTACCAGCATAACATGGGCTTTGGACCACAAACTTACAAAGTTTCTAAACTCAAGAAACATCTTAGCAGAAGAGTTCTGCGCCTTACTGTGTCCCTTGGTGAAGTAAATAGTTCAGAATCATGCTATACTCTCACAGGCATAGGGCAGTAAAGTAGGATCATTCTTATGTAATGAGTTCTGTGAAAATATAAGTTCAGCAACAGTGGGATATGTTGAAAGTCCTGTGATTTTACGACATGTCAGGGGTGTTAAATATCATTGCCCTCACTTGCATGCTGTTAATTGGAGCATGTTTCTGCCTCCTGAGATGCATTTCGCAATGATAAAATATCAAACGGACATGTTCAAACAGAATTATGCTGGGAACGAAATTATTCTTGTATTGATTTGTGAGTTTTAAGGAATGTTATTATTCCCAGCTGCATATTGATTCTTTGTGGTGATTCTAGAAGGTTCAGTGTCTCATATGGAACATATGTGATATTTTGAAGTGTTTAGAGTCAAGTGTGCTTTTTCCACAAAAGTTTCATAAATCACTTGTAAACAAGAGAGACTCTTGACTCACAGGAAATATGAAACTTTGTAAAGACCTTGTTCGTCTTTGAAGGAAAACTTAATTGCAGCAATTTGAAGGTGCTGTAACAGAGAGAAGCTGTCCAATTACAGGAGGCTTACATGGCATAGTACAGAATATGCATGAAAATGGAGAAACAAAAGAATTACATACAAATATATCTAAATACAATGTGAAAATGATCTATGTATAATTATGTAATAACAGACAAACTATGATAGCTGTTTACTTATTATATAAGATAAATAATCCAATATTGTCTTCAGTATCAGTTACCCAATGCTTGCACAAGTTTTAGGACACAAAAACATATTTCGTAACTTTAAACACTTGACAAATGACAGATTGAAGTCAAGTTTTGGATATTTCACTGCAACACTGTTGTATGCATTACACATTCTAAGTAATGACACTTTTTTTAACGTTATCTTGAATGCACATACAGAATATTACAGCTGCTGATGATGTGAGACTTTGACAACTTGCATGTGGTACATGTATTCACTAGTGAAACAGTTAATCACTTGTGTTAGCTTCTTTAAGAGTGGGAAGAACTTAACCTAATCATATTTTTCATGCATCACTGAAACCCAGTGGTAAATATTTGCCAATTACAAAGAATTATCTTCAGAAGTTGATAGAAGTATAAGAGATTTCACATGTATTTGGCTAAAAATATTAGATACATAATAAATAATAATTCCATGTACATTGATATCTAGTGGATTTGAGTGTCCTGGAACACCACAGTTAAATTCAGTTCTGTGTTGCACTGATGCTGCCATCTGTGTGTGTGTAGGACCAGCTCACCACAGCGTCACCAGTGAGTGGAGGTATGGGCATGGCACTCCTGCAGAAGATGGGTTGGCGTCCTGGGGAGGGCCTGGGGAAGAACAAAGAAGGCACACTGGAGCCTCTCCAGCTTGAAATAAAGATGGACAAAAAGGGTAAGCATTTGGATCTCTTGAATCAAAGTTGTATCTGCCGTATTTTGTGGTCATACAAACCTGATATGGTGGTTTCAGAAACAGGTAATGGGCTATGCATTGCTTTAAATAAATCACTTATTCAAGCTTGCGTGTCAATGAAGATGTTACCATTTACGGTTTGTACATTCTCTATGTTATGGTAGTTGACACCCTCACGTAACGTTATTTTTGTATGCTTCTGTGTTGTCAGGCTTAGTGTCACAGGAGGAGCTAGGACATAGACCAGTCCCACCGAACCCAACCACCAAGTCGCTTGTTGGTGAGTGAGTGTGTGTGTTGGTAGTATTGTCCCATTGAATGCAGGGCATAAAGTAACAAGCATGTGTTGGTTGCAGGTAAACATCCTGTCTCACTACTAGTGGAATTCTGCTCCAAACGTCGCTGGGGCGTGCCCCAGTTCGATCTATGCTTTGAATGTGGCCCTGACCACAGGAAAAACTTTCTGTTCAAGGTGACTTTTCTTCTCAGTTATTGACAACATTGCATTTGTGTAGCATGAGAGACTGGTGAAGTTTTTCTGTCACAGGTGCGAGTCAATGGCAACGAGTACAAGCCCAGTGTGGCAAGCCCCAACAAGAAGCAGGCCAAAGCAGAGGCTGCAGCTATTTGCCTCCAGGCTCTGGGTGTCCTGCCCCCTTGAAGGAAGTTCCTGATGAGTACAGTGTTGTTCTGCTAAATGTATGTACATACATACATGCAGGTGGCACTCGTCTGCAGAAAACCATCATAAGTTCATCATAAGGTGGAATGTATTTGTGCAGACACTGAATATGTAATCACAGACATCTGACAGGGGATAGTCCTGCAGTGTAGGGTGTGGGCATGAGTGAACACAGCATCTTCAAACAAGCAACAGAAATCTGTCATGGTACTTAGAATCTGAAATGTCAGAAGTCTGTGGAGATCAGGTTCGAAGATTTCCGTCTTCTGGGTTGTTGCGATGTGTAGTATGGTCGATGTTAACCAATGTTTCAGAGATCATACTGCCTCCGTCATCAGGGCGATGAATATGCCAATAGGGTGTGAGGTGCTAGGTTTATAGGGCCGGAAAGTGAAAAGTGTAGCCTGCCCCAAGCCAATGGGAGCAGGCGTGGGAGTGGACCAATGGTAGCACGTGGGCGAGAGTGGGAGAGGGAGAGAAAGTAGAGAGAGAAAGGTTGACTTTAGTTGGATGGATCTGGGCCCTGAAAAGGGCTGTGTTATTGGTCTGGTTTGTTTCTGGCGGCGCACTCTTGCTCGCTCTCAGAGTCTTCGAAGTGTGTGAATAAGAGGCTTCCAGGACTGGCTCAGGTGAAGTCCATCTTCCCTGTTAAAGTTATCGGGATGTAGTTCGATCTCGATGGCTTCCCTGATTATCCGATCTATGTAGCCGGTTTTTGAGGAGAGGATAGAAGTGTCCTCGAGCTGTATGCAGTGTTCCATGTTGAAGCGGTGTTCAGCAACCGCAGATTTCTCGGGCTGCCCGAGCCGGATGTGGTCCCAACGTAGGGCAGGAAGGCAACCAAGGCTGGTTTTCCAGTAGGCGGTGACAGCCTCGCAGGCGGATTGAGAGCTCTCTGGATCTGACGGGTGCTGTATCCGTTTTTCCTGTAGGTGGTGGTGAGTGTCTCCAGTTCACTCTGTAGGCTCTTGTGGTCGCAAAGGGCTTTAGCCCTGTGTACCAGGGTCGAAAGCACGGCCTGTTTGTTGGACGGGTGGTGATGGGAATTGGAATTGAGGTAAAGGTCGGTATGGGTTGGTTTTCGGTACAGCTTGTGGCCTAATGAGCCATCAGGTTTTCGGTGGATATCTATGTCGAGGAATGGGAGATGGCCGTCCTTTTCAGTCTCCATGGTGAACTGGATGCTCTCGTGAATACTGTTGAGGTGGTTGAGGAACTTAGCGAGCTTGCCAGGGCCGTGGGGCCAGATAACAAACGTGTCGTCCACATAACGGAACCAGCAGAGGGGCTTGAAGGTCGCCCTGTCCACCGCCATTTCTTCAAAATGCTCCATGTAGAAATTGGCGATGACAGGTGATAGTGGGGAACCCATAGCCACCCCGTCGGTATGTTCGTAGAACCGGCCGCCGAACTTGAAGTATGAAGATGTTAATACAAGGTGGAACAGCCTCAAGACGTCGCCATCGAAGTGCCGTTCCAGGAGATCAGGTTCGTTGAAACTGACTGTTCAGACAGTATATTAAACTTGGGAGAACACTTGCTACCACGCAGTCCAGAATCTTTCGTATTCCTATTTGCTATCTACAAAGAATGTACAAAGTAAATATACAAAGTTATCACTTTACCCTCATAGGAGGAAGAAGATGTGATTTTGTATGGGTGTGAGTGTTGTTCTCTTGCATCAAGGAAATTGTGAACAGGGCACTGGGGAGAATATTTGGACCTAACAGGGATGAAGTGGCAGCAGGCACATCATAACCAGTCACAAACTTGCTATATGAAGTGTCTTCACTGTTGCTCATACTGTGCACACCTAGAAGGCAAGCACTGCCTGTGCTACCTCTAACCATGCTGAAACAGTGTATTGTGTTTCTATTGCCTACACTGCAGTCTGTCTCTTGGTCACATCCAAGTGAGAATTATTCATTATGTGAGTAACTCAGAAAGTTAGCTTTAAGTTCAGTCTAAGTAACCAGGGTTTAAGCCTCAGTACAGGCACTGTGACTTCAAAATGACACTGTGGGTATCCACATACAAATTTGTCATGATCCAGGTCGGTGTCAGGTGATGAGGCACATTTGAAAAACTTGTGTCTCTGTTTCTCAACAGTGTCTTGATCTAAGGACACTGGTTGATCATGGACAGTTGCTGCATGAACATCATCTTTTGATACAGTGTTGCTACACAACTACCCCACACCTCCTTGTGGCTCTGCGAAGATGACCATTGTAGCATTGCATATGTGCCGTGTATCTTTTTTTATTAAAACTAGGCTTGCCAGAACATACAGGTTTGTTATTTAAGGTACCCCATTTATGCTGCTTCCTTTCCTGAGTTTGCCATTATTTCAGTTGCTGTTGCAGCCAGCAAAGTGTCAGGTGAAAGCCATGCTCTGATGGCGTTGATATGTGTCATTGTCATAGAACAACTGAAAGACTGCTAAGCCGTGTTCACTGCACTGATTCTCATGGGACTGCAAGGGGGTAAGTCACGACCCATGCATTAGTCAGGTCATTGAGTTTTGCATTATTTAATGACACACTCATCAACTGTGGATGTTTCTGTTTGCATCAAGAGATTGGAAGTACACAGATCATCAGTGAAGATGGTTCTGAATTACAACAGGGACTGTTGACCAGAGGCTTATTAACTCTTTAAGTTTAAGCTGAGCATTTTAATTAAATAAATTTATGGGTATCATTGGCTGAAATGATTTGGAAAATTAAGATACCCGTCTTCTGGGTAGCAGCTCTGTGAAAACTTCAAATTGTGGCCCTCCAGTTGACAAACTGCAGTAATGTTCAAAATTTGTGGATTCTGCCATGCGTTTAAATAGTGCAAAAAATCCTGACCAGCTGCCAGGACTTAATTTACATTGCTCCATTTCTGAGAAATACACCTGTCATGTGATTCATACTGGACAAATCAGAGTAACATCTTTAATCCGATGAGATTTAATTTTTCATACACGAGCTTCACAGATTTATCTGTGCAGTTCAATTCACTTTTGCATGATGACACGTCTTGCTAAATATTCAAAATTACACAGTTTGCGCAAGCCGCCCGTTTGTGAACTAGCAATTTCCCATTTAAATACGACTCTTGTTAGGTTATCTGTGGTCTTATAAAATGCCAAAGGAGGAAAGGGTGATGATATGCCAGTTCAGGCCATTAATACGGTAGACCTGTTTATTGCTGCTCTTGATGTCATTGACTCCTGTAATCGTAATGGCTTTCTACTCACATTTAAGTGGATTAATTAATGCATAAATATATGCCCAAATGGGATTCGAACCCCTATCTCTGCTTGTAGGCAATCTAAACATGCCGTGAACTTCTTACGCTGAATGACCTCCTTGATCACATTTGTTGGTATTTTGCAAAATAAAATTATAGATATAATATTGATTTCTATAATAACTTTACAAATTCTACTAAAAATATTTAAATAACAAATGAAAGTTACTAATTAACTTCAGTTGTACCTACAGGAAACGGAAATTAATTAATGCATAAATATATGCCCAAATGGGATTCGAACCCCTATCTCTGCTTGTAGGCATAACAAATGAAAGTTACTAATTAACTTCAGTTGTACCTACAGGAAACGGAATTATCTTTATCGGTATAACCAGAGATGTCCATGCGCGCGTAAATATGATAGTATGGATAGTACAGTACTCTATGTTTTGGTAGCTTATCTATGGAATAATCTGTGAATATGGCAGTTTAGTGTATATTGGTTGGCGGTTTCGTTAGTGATTTGTTGAGTTGTGAATTAATGTAATTAAGCGTTGAAAACGTCTGGAAAGGAGTTGAATAGTAGTCATGGCTGTGCAGCCCAATCAGCAATTAACTCTGGGTAAGATACCTGAATATATATAGATTGTAGTTTGTTTCTAACCTTAACATATAAGGAGGGAAACGTCCAGTATTGTGTAGCAACTGGACTGCTTTCAAAGTGCCTCTTGAAAGAATGACACGTACACTTCACGATGAACTTAACACGCAGTAATCACTAGCAAAAGCTTTTGACTGTGTAAATCATGAAATTTTGTTGGATAAATTGCATTTTTATGGCATTCAAGTAATAGCAGCGCAATGGTTCAGATCCTATTTAACAGATAGTAAACAAAATGTCGAAGTAAAAGCACCTAAAAACAAACGAAATTTTTCTCAAACCGGGGAACAATAAAACGTGGAGTTCCCCAAGGGTCAATTTTAGGGCCCTTGCTTTTTATAATATACATAAATGACCTTCCTCCAACAATGAAAACAATAAATACTTTAACAGAACCCATAATATTTGCTGATGACACAAGTGTAATAATTTCTAATAAAAATTTTGATGATTTCTGTTCAACATCAAACATAGTTCTGTCTCATATGAGTAAATGGTTTACTGCTAACAAGCTGGCCCTAAATCTAGATAAAACGAATATAATAAAATTTATAACAAATAACTCTTTCTGAGAAATACACCTGTCATGTGATTCATACTGGACAAATCAGAGTAACATCTTTAATCCGATGAGATTTAATTTTTCATACACGAGCTTCACAGATTTATCTGTGCAGTTCAATTCACTTTTGCATGATGACACGTCTTGCTAAATATTCAAAATTACACAGTTTGCGCAAGCCGCCCGTTTGTGAACTAGCAATTTCCCATTTAAATACGACTCTTGTTAGGTTATCTGTGGTCTTATAAAATGCCAAAGGAGGAAAGGGTGATGATATGCCAGTTCAGGCCATTAATACGGTAGACCTGTTTATTGCTGCTCTTGATGTCATTGACTCCTGTAATCGTAATGGCTTTCTACTCACATTTAAGTGGATTAATTAATGCATAAATATATGCCCAAATGGGATTCGAACCCCTATCTCTGCTTGTAGGCATAACAAATGAAAGTTACTAATTAACTTCAGTTGTACCTACAGGAAACGGAAATTAATTAATGCATAAATATATGCCCAAATGGGATTCGAACCCCTATCTCTGCTTGTAGGCATAACAAATGAAAGTTACTAATTAACTTCAGTTGTACCTACAGGAAACGGAAATTAATTAATGCATAAATATATGCCCAAATGGGATTCGAACCCCTATCTCTGCTTGTAGGCATAACAAATGAAAGTTACTAATTAACTTCAGTTGTACCTACAGGAAACGGAATTATCTTTATCGGTATAACCAGAGATGTCCATGCGCGCGTAAATATGATAGTATGGATAGTACAGTACTCTATGTTTTGGTAGCTTATCTATGGAATAATCTGTGAATATGGCAGTTTAGTGTATATTGGTTGGCGGTTTCGTTAGTGATTTGTTGAGTTGTGAATTAATGTAATTAAGCGTTGAAAACGTCTGGAAAGGAGTTGAATAGTAGTCATGGCTGTGCAGCCCAATCAGCAATTAACTCTGGGTAAGATACCTGAATATATATAGATTGTAGTTTGTTTCTAACCTTAACATATAAGGAGGGAAACGTCCAGTATTGTGTAGCAACTGGACTGCTTTCAAAGTGCCTCTTGAAAGAATGACACGTACACTTCACGATGAACTTAACACGCAGTAATCACTAGCAAAAGCTTTTGACTGTGTAAATCATGAAATTTTGTTGGATAAATTGCATTTTTATGGCATTCAAGTAATAGCAGCGCAATGGTTCAGATCCTATTTAACAGATAGTAAACAAAATGTCGAAGTAAAAGCACCTAAAAACAAACGAAATTTTTCTCAAACCGGGGAACAATAAAACGTGGAGTTCCCCAAGGGTCAATTTTAGGGCCCTTGCTTTTTATAATATACATAAATGACCTTCCTCCAACAATGAAAACAATAAATACTTTAACAGAACCCATAATATTTGCTGATGACACAAGTGTAATAATTTCTAATAAAAATTTTGATGATTTCTGTTCAACATCAAACATAGTTCTGTCTCATATGAGTAAATGGTTTACTGCTAACAAGCTGGCCCTAAATCTAGATAAAACGAATATAATAAAATTTATAACAAATAACTCACCACAACTTGCTTTAAGTATGGGTTATAATGAAAGGAATATACAAGAGTCAGTAAATACAAAGTTCCTGGGTTTGCAAATTGATAACCATCTGAATTGGACAAATCTTATTGATAAACTGGTACCTAAGTTAAGTGGCGCATGTTACGATCTCTGTTGCATGTCAGCAACACTGACACACTCAGATCAGTATATTTTGCCTATTTT